ATATATATATATATAATTTAGTTTTTATATTTATATGTATAACATTTTGTTGTTTTAATTCTATTGTATGTAATTTATTTAATTTTTCTTCTTTTTTAATAATGATGAGCAAAAAATATTGTAGCACCCACACTTCTAAAAGAGCGTCTACTTGTATGAGACAAGTATCAAACACAGACGGGCTTTGACACGCCCTAACGCTTATTCGACACTACAAAATATGTGTGTAAATTTTTTTCATGACCCAAACACATTCGAGACATTTATCAACACTGCATCAGAAATGAGCTTGGCGCGATTTGGGGAAAAAAGTAACAAGGAAAGTAGAAATTATGATTGTATGTGTACCCCTAATTATATCTCGTAGCCAGAGTAGTCTTTTTTCTCGTCATGTCAAAGATCACTCTAATATTTGTTAAAATCGAGCATCGAAGATGCATCAAATGTTCATCAAAGTTAAGCATTAATAGTTCCTTCTTTTATTTTTTTTGTCAAAGTCGAGCATCAAAACTACATCTAACATTCATCTTGCATTCATCAAGGCTGTGTTGGAAACTTGGAGTTCCCTTTTGTTCATATAAGCCAAACATGCACCCACTAAAGCTGAAATTTTAAGCTCATTTGTCGTAACTTGAGTAAGAGTTAACATATACGTTGAAGTCAATATAAATACCATGTATCAAAGCCGAAGCCAAACTTTACAATATTTGCGTTGAAGCTTTTACTTATCAAAGCTATACTAGTTCTGTAAGTGATAAATTCTAAGCTTTTTACTCATTAACGAGTTAATAGTTACGACCTTAATACGAGTCCTAAATTACACCACCTCAAGGGGTCTTTCGATAGTGTCCAATACTAGCTTCTAATCGAGACTATCTCGTGAGCATGTTTAAAGAGATATAATTGGAGAATATGCTTGTCACTTGCCCTCAAAGTATATTTCTAGTGAGAATTATGCTAGCTTCTCGTCGAGCTACCTCATGGGCATATCTTCTAACCGTATAAGTGAAGATTATATCTTTATCTTTCTAGTGAGGATTATGTCTACTAATAGCTTCTCATCGAGACTATCTCATGGGTATGTCTTCAAGAGATAAAGAAAAATGTTGTTTCGCCAGTAGAGTAGAAGCATGGTCCCGAGGTATTGACTTCGAGATCATCACCTGAATGGTGGGTGCTAGAGAGGATGACTCTATTGTTGCTAGATTTATGCTTAGAAGTCATAAAGAAGGCAAGATTGTGTTCCCAAAGTTTGTGAATTGTTTGGTGTGTTTGGATATAAACAATGAGCGATTTAACCAAGCCAAGTTACAACTTTTGTTGTAAATTATGAACAATGAAGTCTCCTTCCATTTAGCGATATCTGTTCATTGTAAGAAATTTCATATGAAGCCTACATTTGCTAATGTATTGCTTAGGAGAAAATGAGCAAAACTCCAACGCTAGTTTCAAAACTCCTACAGGCTCCATCGACATACATAATCAATTGGAAAGAGTTTTAAGAGGTGAAATAAATTGCTCCACAACAATAAAAATTATACATTCAACCACAAAATCAGCAAGTACCTGTGACTTAATATCAAGTATGAGAAAGAAATAAATGTCAGACTCCCCTTGGAGCGAATAAAATTAAGTACGTGTTTTTGGCTTTTAAGAGTGGCAGAAAAAACTTAACAAGTAAGTGTGGTAAAAGTTTGTTGTATATGCATGTCAGTTCTATAACGATCAATGTGTTCATATGGGCAGATAACCTACAATACGAATCAGTTCTCGAAAGCTTTAACTTTGTAGAAATAATATACTAAAGGACAATCTCAGCCAATGAAGAAGACAATTGAGAATTATGTCGAGCAAAGAAATGATTTATATCCCTTAGAAGGAACTCTTCTTATATTAGACATCATAACTAGAGAGATTATGTGAGACCGATTTAAGTTCTCCACATGTGTTAGAGGTTATGTTTGACCATACCAAATGGATGCATACAACTAGCAATGTTCAATAAGTAAAATTTATGAGGAACTTCAGTTTTGTGGAGGGAGTGTTAATTGTGTGCCTCTACTCAATAGATTTTGAGATAATCACACCTCTCTAATATGCACTATAATCGATTGTTAAGTCTCGTGTAAAAGTCATTGAATCTCATTTTGAGACTCCTTCCTTCTAAGTTCTAAGTACACAATCAAAGAAGATTTCTTCACCAGTTGAGTGATGTATAAAAAGTGAGAAAAGAAGTAAGGACTTGGACTCTTGAACTCCAAGATCATGCTCGAACATGATGAGTATTAGGAAGAGAAGCTCATTTTTTGTCTTTGTTAGCCATTGAGAAAGTCTAGTCTTCTATAAACGGGACTTTATTTCACACAAACAGAGTGAAACTACTGGCTGTCGGAGAATTCATGACCATGGATTAATATTTTAATGTCTTAGTGTTGTACGAACATCTAACACTCACACATGAATAAACAAGAAGCAGCGAGAGGAGCACCAAAACTTTTTAGCTGAAAAATCATATAAAGGAAAGGAACATGGGGCGTAGCCGAATCAAAGTAATCCACCATGTGCCCTCTTATTCCACAATAGAAAGAACGAAGTTATAATCTTACACTGAAATTTGCATTTGCCTTTAAAGAACATACAAAAAATATAGGTGTTTAGCTTAATAATAAATTTGGACTACAACCGTTGCAAGCAGTGGTCGTCCATAGCCGACAATCAGCAACGACAGACAATAATGGCCAACGGCGGTCGACAGTGGCCGATGAGTGGTGATCAACAGTCTCCTTCTTCTCTTCGCCCTTCAAGAGAAGAGAATATACTTGTTTATAGGCTTTCAGAGAGGAGCATTTTGGTATTTTGTCGTGAAACTTTCCTAACCACTTGATTGAATGACTCGTGTTAATCTACTTTGGTCATAAAAGATTTTTTATAAATTGGGGCACCTTAATGACCTTAAAATTTAATGATTTTAGGCTTATTGGATTCATCGCATCGAGACATCTGATTAAACTATACTTTATCAATTTTAGAGTTCATTTCATCAATTAATTGACGACCCAAAACTTCTATTTGTGCTTCAATGACTTGATATGGGCCTAGTTGGACACAAATAAAATCAATTTTTGCATCATGGGATTCATCTTGTCAAAACGGTTGGTTTGAATATAAACTTGCTAAAAATTATGTTTGGATGATCTTGAATTTGAATTTAGAAGGTTTTATTAAAAATACGTCAAGATTAGTGCTTGATAAAATGTGTTCATGCACATCAACTCGCAGGAAGGCATCTCTCTTGTTGCTGATTTTATATATAAGGACATTAAAATAGCCTTCTTTTACATTAAATCAGATAAATCTCTTGGCCTAATGATTTCAATTATACATTCCTTAAAGACACTTAAACATAAGTATAAATGCATGTATTAAAACAACGGAACATTTTATCTTCTCCAACCTACTTGATATAATTAAACATTAGCCTCTAACTCTCATTCCCAAAAGTCTTCATGCTCAAGAGCTTGATGATTATAAAGTTATTTTTTATGTAATATAATCTCTAAATCATAACTAAACTTGTTGTCAGTGGATTAAAAAGTTTATCACCATCTATTATATGCCCATCACAAGTTGCAAATGACAAAACTCAAATGTAGATATGTTGTATATTCAATGAGTTCAAAGGCTCTAAGGCATAACACTGATTAAGTATACAATGTGAAAAGGCTTATGGCGTTCAAATATGACACCACAAAGACGTGGTGGTATACCCTCTGTATAGAAAATTCACACACCAACGAACTAGAATTGCTAGCTACCATTCACCACAAAATGCAAATATCAAACCGCACACACATAGTGGCATATGAGTGTGGTGATACCGCACGTGCCAATGCTCATTGAGACACCTAATATAGGCACGTGCCAAATGTAAAGGACTTAATTTTTATCATGCAAATGATTCAATCATATAGCATGATGTAAAAAAAACAAAAATCTAATTTTCGTGCACATACAAGTATGAACTCAAACATTACATATGAGTAATACAAAGGATGCAAGTGCACATGCAAAGTACACAAATATGAATGTGAAGTTGGTCATTCACCCACTCAGATAGACTGAACGGGGTCAATCGGGTGTCATAGCCAATAAGGTCCACAGAACTGAGGCGGCCAACTGGACACAGGTGATTTGTTGACCAGGACAAGATAGTTGGTCAGTCTTAAGTAGTCGATCAACTGAGCTGGGGCGAGCAGTTTGACCTAAATGGTTGTTTGACCGGCTGGGGATGTTGATCGGACCTAAATGGTCAGTCGACCAGGCTAGGGCAGCCAGTCAAACCAATGTGCTACATGCAACTTGCAAAATGTAGATATATTCATCATGACAAAGTGCATGATGCAACGCAAATGCTAACGCCCAATAGCGAGTCATACCCATCTTAGCGCTTTCGCATAGGTACCTAGGTTTATATGTATGAAAGTGCGGTATATGCACCTCCGACGAGTGTGGGGAATGTCGCCCTCTGTTTCCTCAAAATAGAAATTCTCCGCAATTTGTAGGATGAACTAGCTACAAAGCTTTTTTCAAAGGAATGTCACTCAAATTTGTAGGAGATTTGTCCACGATGGAATCCTATCCTTGCGGCTTTCTTTAGGAAAACAACAACTTAGCCGTAATCATTCTCTAACACAATTCTAAGTCTAGCAAAGGAAATGAAAACACAAGGTAACAAGTGTATCACCTATGAGATGTTTGATGATGCCCTCAGTTGTAAAGATGAAGCCCTCCTCAAGTAGAAAAGATGATCTTCGTATTCCTTCCCAAATGTAGAGAGGTAGCTCTCCTTCGTCAGAGAGAATAACACAATCACCAGAAGCCTTATCCAACGTAAAGAGGAAGCTCTCCTCATTGGTGTTTCTCCTTTCCCAAAGAAAGATGAAGCTCTCCTCATTGTAAGAGATAACGCCAAGTCCACCCGACTTTGCTGAAGAGAAGCAGAGAGGAAGAAGATGAAGAAGAAGCTGGAAAACCCACCTCTATGGTTTCTCTCCTTGAAGAAGATGAAAATCCTTCCTTCACTTCTTGCTCAAGAAGCTCTCTCCCAAAGAAGCTCCAACCTTTCCTCTCTTGCACCAAGCACCAGCCCCTAAGTCTGAGAGAATGAGAATAATCCCCCCTCTAAAAAAAAAAAAAAAACGGATAAAGTTAGTGCTAGCTAAGCTAAAGCTCCAAGCTAAGCAGACTTCCCTCCGATTTTGCCATAATTGGCATAATTAATCTTTTGGGATGTTTCCAAAATTAGTCAAAAACTGGCATCGTTACCTACCCTTTTGCCTCCCCCATGTAATCTTCCCATGCTCAACGAAATCTCAAATGTAAGCTGCATGCGGAGAAGTGGCGGGGGGTCAAAATGGCCCCAAAATTTGAAATAATTGCTTCTTGAAATTGGGCTGGCGCCAAGGCACCAACAAGGTAGTGCCCACTGGGGGCATTTTGGGCGCCCAGGCTCTTACTTTCTCATGGCACAAGAAAAGGCTCTGGAATGTAGTTTTAGGCGCACGGGCACTTGGTGTCGGTCTGGTCTGAAAATCCTGATTTTCATGTAAATTGTTTGACAGAGGGTTTCTTCAATCATTAAGCTATGGGGGATCATGTATGACTGAAATATTGTCTCATAACTTCAAAAATGAGTATTTTGATCGATCATTCATCGGAAAAATCTTTAGCAACGGTCTCTCTGGACCACGTACAGGTATGACATTCCAATTCCTAATTTTTGCCCAGATGATTGTAGGAAGGTCCTCGTCAATTCAGAAGCCATACAAAATTGTGTATTGTTACTCAAAAATGAACATTTTGGGGGTTCCAAACCTAGGTTTTTCAGTGTCAACAGGCATCCCAAATGCCCGCGGGATAAAATCGATTTGAAACTGACTTTTCCCAAAATGTGCATGAGAGATCTTGGCGATTGCCCTTGGCCTCATAAAACTCCGGATTGGTGGAATTGAGTATCTCAACATCATAATGGACATAAAACACGTCCGAGGTATGGGCCAACACCACCTTACGAAGAGTTTTCTCAGGTAGGGCCAAGTCAGTACCGGTCTTGATTTCGTGCCCGGGGCATGTACCAGGAGGTCCGATGGGATGTCTTTGACGACATGAAGCTAATCATAGTCATGTATCCTCCAACAAACATCTCGCTCTTACGATATCGAAAATTGATTCCAACAACTTTTGTTCTATACAGTGTTAATAGAAGCTTCGTTTATGAGAGAATTAGTATGTTAGGTTTTCCTTTGGGATTTATTGATTAGATCAAAGCATGTAATGCTCGATTTCAATCTTATTTTATTTGAAATAGTGAATTTAGTCATTGTTTTCTTTCTACCTCTGGACCCAGACAATTTTGCCTCTTTTCTCCCTTTCTCTTCACTATAACTATTGGTGTTGTTTCTTGATTGTTGGACAAAAATTGGCATCTTTTTAACTAAGGCAAATTACATATATACCACTTACTGACTTCAGTCCTATAAAATTTAAGTTACAAACTACAAACCAATAATATTTTGCATATATAAGACCTTAGCTTTTAATTTTTGTAGTCATATATTTCACTATAAATATAATCATCTTTTAATCAATTCGCTTATGCATCTAAAATATCATTCATCATAAGCTCTTTACAATATCTATTTTTTATTTTTTTTGGGGGCATTTGCATGCATACCACACAAATCTTATGAATTTACATATCTAATGCTCTACATTTATGACACGAAGTGCCTCATTTGAGAGCAATTATTAGATGCAGAGTACGTGCATGTGAATTTCATTGTATTTTAATTGAATTAGTTGTACTGATACAATCAAAATACAACAAAATTTACATATAAGAAGTTCGCACCTAAATATTCTTAGTTTTCGGGGCAGCTACAGTTGTTTGAAGAACAACAGTGAAAACCACATTGAAGATAAAATTTTGGGCCATAAATCCAAAAATTGATAAATCATAGCCATTGACTAAAGTTTATTTATTAACAAACACTTAAATAAGAAATTATTATATACGGTGATCGCACGTCCGAACGAACAACACCGAGATTAGACAATTAATGAAGCCACTATCCTTACAAGCATGGACATCCCATGTGTCCTGCAAAGCACGCTGGAAATCCTTCAACAATAAGCCACACTCCAAAACCTCTTAACCGTGCAAAAATCAAGTATTCCCAACATGGACGGATTCTTGGTGCATCTCGGCGTCTTGAACTGGCTCAGCGCCGCTCCGTTCCCGATGTAATACTCCATCACCTTCTTAAAAGTTCCCCCGCCGACGATCCGGAGCTCCAGCGCTCCGATCGAGCTCGTCTTCCTCGACGCCACGTACCCCTGATCGGCGAAACCCAGATCCATCTCTGTGCAGCAATCCCTCAGCATCTGATCCGACACCGATCCCTTGATCTCCCAGTAGATCACGTAATGGCCGGGCTGCCCGGCGGCCTCTGCGTGGCTGGTGAAGTCGACGAGCTCAGCTTTCGCCTGATGGGATTGGAGGAGTTTGAGGGCTTTTTCGACCACGATCTGGAGGTCGTTTTCGGTGGTTTTGTCGATGTTGATCGTGAGGATGAGGTTTCTTCTGCAAATAAATTTTAGTTGGGGGGTTTGTTTGTAGAATCCCGAGACTTCCACCATGTCGCCGAGTCGGTATCTGTATAGGCCTGTATGGCAAGAGCAAATATTACATTAAGACACGATAAGTGTAGATTGGTCGGTAGTGCGAAATATACCCCCTCAATTTTTATGTTTTCAAATTTCAACACATTAATTTCAATTTTTACACACTTACCCATTTCTATGCAATGCGAAAAAAGAGATATTTCACTTTTATGAATTTGCCACTCAACTCCTATGAATTTGCATATCTAATACCAAAATTATAATTTTTATGTATTTGCCACCTTAGCTATATATGAAAAATTGTATTTAAGGGTCTGATTGGGGCAGCTTATAAGTGCGGGCGGCACCGTACCATTTGGATAGCGTTTTTCGTCAGCTTATCCGAAACTGCGTTTGAGTTTTTACACTAAACGCAGCCCGCGAGTCGACCACTTAGTCCGGCCTGCGGGCCGTGTTTCAGGATAAACAGCTTATCCTGAAACGAGCAAGCTGAACCAATCGGACCCTAAGTCAGACATAGTGATCTTTTTCATGTAATATATATAAAAAGTTTTGAAGTTATAATTGTAAAAAATTTGAGAAGGTATAAATGTAAAATTTGTAGGCACAAGTCAATTATTATCTTTGCAGCAATCAACTATGATTTTTTGTGGCAACTTATTGCTACTATAGCAAAAAATCATATTTGTTGCAGGCAAATTATGCCTATTATAGCTAAATAACTATTGCAAAATTATGAATACCACCTTTGTAATTTCATATTCTCTAATTCAATATAAGGGCAGACATGTACTTACAATTACATAAGAAATTACTTTGAATAGGCTAGAATTGTAATATTTTTTTCTTCTATGATTTTTTCCACATAAAATTTTGACGTCTTCTCGACTAATTCTAGTTCATCTGTATGTGTGCTGGACATTCTTGTAATGCCAGGAAGTTAAACTATTAATATATCGCCTAAAATTTCAGGGCACATAAAAATGAGAGATGTTTTTTATGTGTTAAATATTTGAGTGCCGCACAGAAATAATTATTAAAATTCAAACATTTGATGTGTGTGTGTCTTGACCAAAATGGAAGAACCGCTCCTTTAAGCCGAGCCCACAACCAACGCAATGTCCTACTCAGCAATGCCCAAAAATTCAGCCTTTGTGAATAATGTCGGCTGAAAAAGTTAGGAACGTGAGTAATATATCCTACTCTAATTTTATTAAGATAAATATTAATGATATATATATTCAAAAAGAATGGCCAAAGATTGTTATACTAGTATTCAACCATTTCTAATGTGTCTAACAATTCGACTATCACCTTTCTTAAGACTCACGTCGCCAGGGAGAGATTCGAACCCCCTGTCTGAGGGGTCTTATACCAAAGATGTCAACCAACAGACCGATGTTTATATTGCAGTCTTTTCGACACAAATTATAAAAAAAAATCATTCTTAATAAATTTTTATAACAACATTCTCGTCTACTTTTTCATCATAAATTATAAAAAAACAATTTTTTTTTTCACCGCATTATGATATCTCAAATTTAACCACACATATCTTGAATTTCACATTTCACATATTATTCCTCCACATGATTAATTTTACCAATTAATATAATTAACTTAATTTATTTTTCATTATTTACTATCTACTAGTTTTATTAAATTTATATATAAATAAATAAATAAATAAATATATATATATATA